CCCCGTCGGCCCCCCAGCGCCGCCTGCTCTATGGCTGCGCGGGCAGCGACTCCGAGTGCTCTGCCGGGCGCCTGGGGCCGCTCGGACGCCGCGGGCCTCCGGGTGGCGTTGGGGGCGCCTACGGGGAGAGCGAATCCAGCGCCAGCGAGGGCGAGTCCCCTGCCTTCAGCTCGGCCTCCAGCGACTCAGACGGCAGTGGTGGCCTCGTGTGGCCACAGCAGCTCGTGGCGGCCACCGCGGCCTCTGGGGGCGGTGCAGGCGGAGGGGGTCCCGCGGGCCCGGCCAAGGTCTTTGTGAAGATCAAGGCTTCCCACGCGCTGAAGAAAAAGATCTTGCGTTTTCGTTCGGGTTCTCTCAAGGTCATGACGACAGTGTGATTTTGGGGGTTCGCGTGAGCTCCCCCTTCATGGCCTCTGCACCTCCACGCTCCAGATGGCTGGCCCTTCGACACCCACCTTCCAAAGAACACCGTGCTCTCTGCTTCCAAAGACCCTCCTTGCTCCCGTCCAAAGTGGCCTTGGGCGGAAAGGCTCAGCGGAGGCGAAATGGGGGAGAAGCCCTGGCTTCTGAGCTCTTGCACTAGGAAGTCCCCTTGTGTGGGTCTCACTTTCCTCATCTGTACCATGGTCGTCCATGTATGCAAAGGGGTGATTCAACTTAATTCCCCCTTTTAGTGTAGAAGCTTGGTCTGTTGCCCTTCACTTTGTCACCAAGTACTCTCATCCCTCTTCCCTGCCCAGATAGGGCTCCCTGTCGTTCACAAAGTGCCCCCTCCATGGACCCCTAGGATATCGCCCCTGAAACCCCTGTCAGAGACTGCGTCTGACTCACGCGGTGCCTGCAGAGTGCCCTAGGAAGGGAAGGTGCACGGATTTGGGGGTTTTGAGGGTCAAGTAGGAGTTGGCAACACCTGGAAAGGACTCTTTCACCTCTATCCCTGGACAAGGAGAGAATTGGTAGGTAGAAGAGGGGAAGGAAGATGGTTTCCATCTCGTACCCCACCCTTGCGAGAGAGGGTGGGGAGAGCAGGTGACCCTCAGCTGTTCTGATTTAGGATCTTTTTTTCTTTCATTTTAAGAATTACTGTATTTATTATGACGATGGTGACTCCCCGGTGCACAGGGGGGCCAGATTCTGTGTGTTTCTCTAACCTCTTTGTAAATAAATGCACAAAGTTACATATTTGGTGGCCTCCTTCTATGCAGAAATGGTAAGAAATGTGCCTTTTCCCTTGAGCTAACATTCTGTGAGCAGCTTCTGTTTACTTTGGATAGGGCAGTACCTAGAACCAGATGGCAGCGCCCGGCTTGGGTTTCAGCATCAGCATCATATTCCTACCACAGGCTCTTTCTTTTAATTTTTTCTTTCTATACTGGGGATTGAGTCTAGGGCCTTCACACGGAGTTATATCTCCTTCTGTCCCCTTTTTTTGAAACAGATTCTCACTGTGTAGCCTAGACTGGCCTTGAACTTGCAGCAATCTTCCTGCCTCAGCCTCCCAAGTCCTGAGAATACAGCTGTGCACCACCACACCAGATTTATAATCAGTAATGGG